TAATTCTGGTTTTTCAAACTGTATGGCTATGGCCTCGCCAATGCAGAGAAGATGCAGTTTGATTGTCTTAGGAAGGCTTCTACTTACCTTGTAGATGACTTTGAACGCAGAGTCTGTCTTGATTGGGTGACCTATGTTTACAAGGTGTTCGATCATAATGGATATCATTTTGAAAGGAAAATTGATGTATGTTATTTCATACAGGTTCGTCTTGTGTCATGGTGATTTCCATCGGTGATGAGAGAAACCAAACAGCCCCAGAAGAGAATATTATAATATTACAGTGTGATACGATGAACAAACAAGTACACCTCAATTATCTCGAATTAGTTGAACAATATCTCGAAATCCCTTATATGATCACGTTCATGGTGTTATCAACTGGATCCACTTATGCCCGATCAAACATAAAATGTGGATCAGCAGATTCAATGCTCAAAATATTTCACATCTACACACCTTGTTACTGTGTATTTGTAGCACTAAGATGTTTTCTTGCATTAGGACAAACCATATGTCTCATGTTATATGTTGATGGATTGAGTATGACGTTTCTGTGGTGTTGCGTTCACTTGGAATGACTATTTTGTTTGGATGTATGCACTTTTTCTGTATAATGTAGTTTTATTATATTCAGTGTGACTGTCCATCTTCACCTTTATCATACACATAACGTCACTTCTCGGTACAATATCTTGTGGAAAAATAATTAGTAATGAACTAAAGCTTTATAAGTAATGTAATCCAATTCTTGTATTTAATTCTACAGGCCTTTTATGGGCATATTGAATTATTGTGTGCTTGAGAAAGAATCGATCACAATTACGGGTGACACGTTGATCAATGTAATAAAGCGTGAACTAGCTCATGTACTTGTAAGTTCTTTTCAGTTTATGAAATATGGTCTCCGTACTTTGACATACGGATAATTTTGTTTTGTTCAGCATTTGGTTAGTACGATGAGTAGTGCAGTTGTTTAATTAGTTTGATCACAAATCCATTTCTGTTGTGTTCTGTATAAACTTTTACAATTTGTGTAATTGCGTTTGCACTTCTCACAATTTATTAATTATTACACAAGTTTCTCTGAACTAAATTAGCCAGATATGGAAACAATATTAAAACTACGTACTATCATTATGATGCTCATATAGTTTGTACATTATTTATATGAACTGCTCACCGTAAGAAACAATTTAAGCTGATGAAAAGCTAAATTTATTCGAATAGTGTACAGTCTAGTAGTAAAGACAGAAGATACTAAGCGATTTCTATATGGTGTATTATAAAATGTCGATATGTTGATTTAGTGTATAAAACAATGTTTGAATTCACTGAAAAATCGAAATACCACAAAATTATCAGTATGGACTGTGAAGATTATTATATGATTGATTGAGATTACGAAGTGGTTGATGTTGGATGCCTGCACAGTGGTCTAGAGGTTAAGCGTTCGCGCGCGAGAACGCAGGTCGCGTGCTTGAATCCCACAAGCAGGGTGGTGGATGCGCACTATTGGCGTCCAGTCCTTTCAGGTTTTCGATGGTGGTTTAACATCAATCGGCTCATGACATCAGTCAAATAGTATAACACTTTTGTTTATTAAACAAGTATTATGGTTCATCTGGAGACTCTAATCGTTGAGTACAAGTCGAATAAGAAATTGAACCACATTAATTTCTTATTTTATTTATAAGGGATTTCATCCTTCAATTTTTGGGTCGGAAAAGTTTATGTCAGCGAAAATTCCGTGAGTAATAATAAAAGTGGTTGTAAAATGTTGTTTTTATTATCTGTCAGCATGTGTTTAAATTCGTCCACATTTTAACTTTAGAGGGATATACGTAACCATTTATGTCGGTAGGTGGAAAGTGAAAGTTGCAGTTCGAAACATAAAAAGGGTGCAAGCATAGAAATTTCAGAAAGTATAACAACACATGTTTCTGTATGCAGATTAACTTTGAGAACAAGCGTCCATTCACATGTTAATCCTTTTGTTCTCTATCTAAGAGATCAGTAGTTGATCATTGATAAGAGCAACAATCAGGCTGTGTCGCGTGGGAATATTCGAGCATCAGAAAAAGAGTTTACGATATCTTATTCTACTCATTTCTCAGTTGGAATGCTAAACCTAATTAAATCTCTATTACACAGTGTCTGTTAAAACTATAGACCATTTTCTAACTCCTTTATGAATAAACAAAAATTGAACGATTAATGTCAAATCACCGTTTGATTTCTCATATCCTACTTCTTACAACTTTGTCTGAGAGGTGGCTATGATAAAAATCCAAATACCAATTGAGCTAGACGAATATATTTCAGGCACTGATTTACTCAGACAGAAGTCAGTATGACAGGTTCGCGACGATGCAAAGAGGGAAAGCATTCTAACTCCCTATGATAAAGACGTGATAGAAAATAACCTAATGACATGTGATGAATAACCTACTATACAAAGTTTTGAGTGGATAGCTGACAAGGTCAAAATATGTGTCCAATTTATGATCAAGAATAAACTACCTGGTTTGCCCAAAAGCCAGAATAATCCATGTGGAAGTGACAGGGTAACGGATCATATAAAATATAGTTTTCTAATTAGCCAATGCATGAAATTTACTTCTAGGCATTAAAGATTTATTCTGAGTGGAGTAAGTGACAGTTCACTAAGTTCAATCTACATCACTGTATGTTTTTGTTTCAATCCCTAGATCTGTTCAAAACATAACGCTATCTTGGCTATCAACTAAAGGAACCTACAAAATACAAAAGACAATTCTCAGTCTACCAAAGATGCTGGTACGTTGCATGTTTACTTCGTTTAAACAGAGAAGCATTTCTACCAAACTGCATCATGTCAACATCTGAAACGTAAATACTACCAATGATCGTCATTCTCACTGAGTCCTTGAATATGACAATTGGGGATAATGTTTTACTCTATTTGATGGGTTCCTTTACTTTACTTTTCTTCACATTCTCTGTGACTTGAAATTCCACTTAGTAGAACTAAATCCAAAGAATTCTAGGTGACATGCATAAACATAGATTCCACGAGTAATATATATATATATATATATATATATATATATATATAAGGTTTGTCGGATTTGTTCGACAATTCATATGAACTACATTTTAGATATAAAAACCATGTCTTAGGGTCTTTTCTGAATACATATACAAGCGTTGCTTTGCATTTGGTTTGATTTTTCTTTACAGTTTGTGGTAATTCAGTCCATTTGTGTGTGATTTGGAAGCCCATGTCTTTAACATATTGGGGTTAATCTGTCGTAGAAGCGTCAATAATTGGCTCAGTGAAATTTATGAGCTATCCTTGTGCAGTCAAACTGAGATTAGATGATCGACAGAGCACAACACCTGTCAGTTCACTTCTGCTTCATTTCTAATAAACCTGTGTCTTGGTTGTTTGTTGGCATTGTGATTCTGTTATATAGGATGGAATGCAAAGCAATAAACAACTCGTCGTTCGGTAATTATTAGACGAGGAATTACAATGGGTCATAACACGTTATTCACAGCCACAAATGTGATGAAATTATTTGAGAAATGTCAAAGCATGTACGGCATCATGAATTGTGATGCTTTCTAACTTCAGTAAGTAGGATAGCGTATGATTGTAAGAAACCGGAAAGTGAATTAGCCCCATCCGGCATATATTTGCAATTCGTCACTAGTATCATTCATACTTTCAAGATTTGTGAAGAGGTTTTATATAAGTCATTGTTATTGATTCAACTGGAATTCGGTGATAACGAAATTGATTGGGAAGTGTAGCAGTAGTTTGTTGAGAATGGATGGAATATAGCAGGAAGTGGAATCCAGTGCAAGCATTTGCCAATCCAGACTGATCCAAATGCAGTGAAAATGACCATAGCATTATAATTCACACCAATGTCAATACAGTTAGAGTTAAGTAGTTGGTTTGAGGTGAAAATTCAATCCAAAAACAACACGAATATTTCTAAATCACGCATCTGAACCAGATTCATCTGCAACTCGCTTCTTTCTTATGCCTCTTGTTTTAATGCATCAATTACTAACTTGAGTTTACATTATGAAAATTTTCGTTTATTATTAATTGACTTTTTATTGATAACGCCTAATGACACTTCACATCGTTTATCTGAATGAAGAAGGAAGCAAGAGAACATTTCGACTGCAGCCAACTACAAGGAATCGAGCTGGATGAAAACCATTTGAGTCACAGAGTAATGGGAGTGAGTTTGCTCATATCATAGATTTTTGAAGTTAGTTATTCATCCAGCAGAATAATCTGTCCTCTGAATACTGTTCATGTAGAACATGTTTGATTTTCCATATACAGAAAACGTTTGTATGCACACTGTTGTTTGAGTATGTAGAGAAGTAAAACATGACAAGTATCAACGTTGTTCTGAGTGCATTAAATGAAAGATAGTTTAACATGTAACATTGAAGTAGAAAACAAGTTAGACATTCACAGATTTCATATGATGCTTCATAGATTGTTTGCAACATTTTTAAGTTTTTCAGCACACTCGACTTAGCATTACATAACTCAGATGTCACAAATCGGTAGCAATGCATCATAAAATAAGAAATGCTCCTAGCCTGATAAGTAATAACTTAGCATGTATTTGAAGCAATTATTGTTTTCCAGTCGAAGTAAAACCAACTGTAGTATCTATAAATGCATCAACACATGAACACCGTAAATCACTAAGGATTTTTCTTAATGCAATTTATTTTCAAAATACAATTAAAAGCGTCAATATTTACACAGCTTTTGGTACTGAATAGAAGCAGCACATAAAGATAAAACCATACACGTTTTGTAAATAAATAAATGACCGATAGGACGGCAGTTTTGAACGATATAGCAGGAATCCCATGTAAAAGTTAACCGCGAGCGTTTAGTTTTCATAGTGAGATGTGAATCGTGATATGAAACAACCACAATCATATAAGTTCCATACTGATTTATTCCTAATGTTTCAATGTCACCTCACTTTCATCAGAATGATTTGATGACACCTTATCCATTGGAATCAAAACGTGTTTCAAGAATAACTCTGGCTTATTTCGAGGATATAAAGTAAGTGTTACATGTTGAAATATGAGATTAATTAAATCGTGATAGACTTCACAAATGTTTACATGGAAGATACCTGATATGACGTAATATAGTTGAGACGTACTAAAACGCCTTATTTACTCCTGCACCTGTCTTCCTTAGACATGAATCAACATAAACTGAAGTAGTACTGAAGTAGTTTTATGAATAAAGCTTCATTGGTGTTGCTGACCTTATTTGGAATCGAAGAGCCAAGTTGTGTGGCGGTCTGTGAGTCTACATAAGACCTTGCACTTCAAGCTACGTTTGTAGCAGACGTATCTGAGGCATTTACAGCAATATAACATTATCTGTAAAACTGTTTCTTTCGAAAACAGTTAGAGTAACAACGGTATAAATCAATTAATTAAACGTTGAAATGATCTAAATTTCAAACGTTGATATAATTTCAAATGTAATTTTCACATATGATGGCTTCACTTTACTCGGCATGCACCCTTTGTATAACCACTTTTTCTAATAATGACAAATATTCGTATAACTAGTTAATTGCTTTCATACTCCAAAATGGCAATACGCCGAAGTAGAATTGATGATCGTTCACAGGGCAAAATTCTTACATTTATTTAAAGTTACGTAATATTGGAATACGCTGACACTGGAGTATCCTTCATCACGTGTGACAATAACGAAGCAATCATCTGTTTTAGTTGAGACTTCTATTCTCAGAAGCTAATCGCAATTACATTTGTATAGTTTCAGAAGGTCGGATCATCAAAAAGCGAATTTTCTGAGCTGTTATTTATTCCCACTCGTTGATGACTCAGTAGGTTTCTATCGTGGATCGGTCAATAAATGTCTGAAAAATATAGTACTAACGGTAATAAGGGAACCGACGAATACTTCAACTTGTACAGTGTAGAGTACCATGATATTACGGTCAAGCCATAAAGCGATACTTCCATATTTGAATAATTTTCTCTAAATACCTTTCAAATTTGAAATTCATTTGTGCTTGTTAGTCATGCTTAGTTACACAACAATCGGTCAAACTCATTGGAAGTATCTCACTATTTCTCCTTAAATATGATGTTAGTAGTCTAGATCTACAACACTTGCAGTCTTCACGTCCTCTGATCTCACAACCTGTATTGAAAAATAAAACAGATAGCTTAATTAATTTCAAATAACAAATCAATATTCAAAATATCATCACACCACAATCCCTCGTAATCACAGTCTTATTCATTGTATTTCGCTTACTAAAGCATGTACGATGTCGACTATTCTATGGCCGATGACTTCAAATGGGGAAAAGGATTGGGTTGTGATTTCGTGTTGAAGAGCTGTTATGAATACATCAAGGACAGAAAAAGCAGGTAAAATAGACACATTATGTGTTTATGCTTGAACTTTTGTAAATTTATATTGAGCAACTAAAAAATTGCCTCTCTTAACGCTTCACAAGTATGAGTAACAGTTGAACCATATGAACGGCATATGATCTCGATCTCGTTATTAGTCATGCTTACATTTTTCAACACAAACAGTCCAGCAATTACAATCTTCAACTCAGCTGTAAACGTTGCTGATTTGTTACACTTTGAAATAAAAATTTATCATGTGTTTCATGATCAAGTGATTCAATTTGGAAAAGCTTCAAGTTGAGGAACAGTTATCTAGATAATACATTTACTTAAAATGTCAGATCCAGACCACGAAATCTCAATATTCTTGACGAGAACATACCCGAATTTCAAAATGTCACGAGAAGAGTGAGAATCTTCAACTATGTAGCATGTTGAAGCGTTTATATTCATTAGTCATAATTGTTTTTAATAGGGTTTGTATTCTCACTTGGTTGATTTTGAACCTGGTTTTGACATATGTCCGTCAGTGTGTATCGTAATAGTCACCATACTTGTTCGACATACTAATGTCTACCTGCATTAAGAATCCCCCTGAAATACACGTCCAAATTTGAATCTGAAGTCACGAAGATCAGTCTGAGAGTGAGCAACTAAGCAAGGATGTAGGTATAGCATCATCTACACAAAATAACTTGTCATCATTCTTGATTTATCTACGTGATGACGTAAGTAGATATAATTGCTCCTAACTTAATGTGGTAAATGTTCATTTCAATGAACATTAAATCCTTCTTTTCTCAGAGGACAAGATATTGAGCCCTACTGTGATATTCCGAAAGAACCAAAATGCGCCGGTTATGAAAACGGGATTGGTGGTTGCCTTCTATATGAACACGACAAACAATTAAACGAAACGTTTCAGTATATGGATAATTTGTTCCCTTTTACTGCCAAACAAAAAGAGAAATATGGTGGCCATATGGCTTTTGACTACTGTCCAGTCCTCATAGTAAGTCACACTATTTTACAGTCGTATGATAATTTTGTGCGAAACAATTGTGTTGATCAGACAACCAAAATGAACTTCTGATAGTTACCAAACCACTCACGTCGTGCATTTGACAGTCTTTAGCTAGTCTTGCAAGTAATTAGTCTGAGTTAATAATCAAAGTGATTATCTGGTACAAAGCGCCTGGAATTTTTACATCAGATGAACCGCGTAATCAGATATGGTTCGTGAATATATCATTTCACTGGTACTTAGTAATTATTTTAACTAAGAGATGCATGTATTCGTATGTTCTTTCATACAGTGATACGCAAAGGTGTCAGTTGTAAATAATTTTATTTCTGATTCCTTGAGATTTTACAGCCATTCACATTTCCGTTATCTCTAAAACAATATTTAAATAAATTATTATTTCAATCACCGAATCTGTTCTGCTTTAGAAGTATTGTGAAGTAATAAGATGATCTTATCGCTTTTCAGGAAGTCACGCGAAACTTGTTCGTCTACTTTCAGAGATAATCATCATTATGATCATCATGATCATCATAAAACACTGAATATCTTATCAATGGTTTCTTACGGAAACAGTTTTGATAATGTCTCTGTATTCCTATTCTAAATCATTCAGTCATATGAATTAAAACTTTATTGAGACGATAGCGAATTTTGGATACTTCATACAGACTATAATTGCTGTTTTTTTAAACCATTCCATTTAGATTCAGCCAGGTGTAAATGGTAGTTCACTCCTGTGCGAGCAGAAAGATGATTTAAAAACAGGTTTGTTAATAGACATATTTTGTTTGTTCACCTATTTGAATATTTATATTGATACTTCATGGTAAATCAATAATTAGTGTTTGACACTGAGATGTGTGCTACTTACATCCACATGAGAAGTGGATAACGTGAGTCAGGAATATAATGTCTAGCAGAAGAAGATTGAGAAGATCAGGAAGGTATGAACGAGGACAGAAAGCAATAGGTATGTGAATACAGGAACAGTGAAGTTTGAGACGATTGACTGATATTTGCAAAAGGAGACGTCAAGTTTGACACGATTGATATTCCGCAAAAGAAATATTGACTGTATGGTTTTCATATTTTACTAAGTAATTCTGTAAATCTTGACCAAAGTACTTTCGATTGCCCAAACTGGTGTTCTCGTTGACTGTGACACTTTTACAGGATCTGTCGCACTTTATCCCAAATAAACTCTCGTAAAATTGAGAAGATTGTCGAAATAAATGATACTTGTACTCCCTTAGTTGATAACAATCAAAACATCATGTTAATCGTCACATATTACTTTGGCGTTGTAGTCAACTGCTTACTAAAAAGTATTATGGCCAGTGCAAGTGAATAATAGACTTATCTCTTTTGTATATGTAGATTTTTGATATTTCTAGTTGGACACACAATTCTTATGCTGGAAAAGTAACGATTAAGAGAAATAAATGGATTGTATGATTGTATTGTGAAAACATGTTGATATCATGAACTGAAGTAAACTTTCATCTTGTCAGAATATATACGTGGGTAGTATGTTAATCTTTGATGGTAAAACAAATTAGATCTCTACAAATTTACTGTTATATTAAATATACATATATATGTGATTATTAATTTTCTACAGATTCAATGCTAAACATGTTTATGGAATATAGGGGTCCTAATTCAGGTTGTTTTAATGATGAAACACAAACATATGTTAACAAATCTGGAACTTACACCATAAAGAAGAAATCATCTTGTCATAAAGTAAGTCATATTAGAGTAAAATAGAATTCGTGTTGTGATGACTTGAAGTTGAGGGTTCAAAATTTTTCTCCACCCCGTCGCCGATTGTTGTGACTTGAACTTGGGTCGACTTTTACCCCGTGTCAGTTGTTGCGTCCTTGACTGAAAAGATTGGAGAGCAGTGTGTCATCAATCGGAGCAAAGACACGTCTAACACGTAAGAACTAACTAGAGTTCTGTTTGGTCCCGCTCTCCTATCTAGCCCAGCCAGTTGAGTCCAAAACGCAAGTCTTAGCCTCTGAGATATGAATCACTATATTTCAGACATACTCTATTTATATACCAATCAACCAGATCATATCGTACCATAAAATATAAAACAACATTTGTACAATATTTGACAAGTGAAATAAATATTGACCAATAGGAAATGTCCACTCAAAGTTCAAGGACACCATTAGACTTAACATGATAATTATTGGTATGTTCCTCTGCATCCCTAACACATGTGCTCGATGATATTTATGTGTAACACAAGGAAATAAGATTGTGAAGAGGTAGAGAAGGGAAGGTGAGAGTATTGAAAAAGGAACAACAGGTAGACGAAAATAAGTAGATGAGGGTTGACAGTTGTCAGAAAATGAGTTAAATCAAATAGGATTCTTTTATTTGAATAAGATTCTCTCACTTATATGAGTAGGGAAAGAAACTACAATCGGATCACTACTCCTAATATTCTAAGTCATGTCTGATAACAATCACAGAGGCTGAGATTTGCAATCTGTAAGACGTTAAGCGGAGTGTCATGAGGGACCAACAGCAAATAATCCTAAACACATTTTCATGCCACCACAAAATGTCATGGACTGACCTGCTCTCTGCTTCCCGCATTTAGTCTCAGCGTCGGTAAATAATGCACGATGTTAAGTTATGTGGGACGACATTCATAGACCACGTCCAGGACATTGAAGTCAGTGTATCAAGATGGTGATACGGATTGAAACGCTTTGTCTAAACACACGTTGCCAATCCCTCACGTTACTAACATACTGTTCAAACTGTGTTCCGTCAGTAACAATTAGTATCAAACATAGAGAGTCGTCTTTAATCACTTTGAAGGTGCAAAGCATATCCTATACCAACTGACACTAATTGCCGACTAGTTACATTAGGATCAGATGAATTAAGTAGCACCCCACAACAAGACAGTATCATCCCATTTCTCAAGGCCGCTCAGCTTTTTCCAGGTAACAGAGTCAGATCGTTATTATGTGCTTCCAACAGAGCTCGTCAACGGTAAATTTGAAGAGAGTTGATGAGATAATGGAATGAGGACAACCATAGCTTCATTTTTAACACATTCGAATGATATTTAGCTTCTGAAACTTTGACACAGTTCCTGTTTGTTTCACCAGCCATTGAGTACAGGATTGTCTAAATTGTGTTCAGTGGTTAGGAGGTCGGGGAATCCGTTCATCAATGAAATCAAATCTTTGACCAAATTTTAGTCAAACATTATTGATAAGCGTCCGATTATCCTGACAGATTGTCTCACTCAACATAATTCCTTTTGTCGGTGGCTCACATAAGTTGATAGGGCCTTAAGCAGTCAAGAGATACAGCTACTGCTTCCAACTCGTAAGCATCCTCCGACTAATAAGCAACTCAATTTGACGTGAAAGTTGCACCATTTTTCATAGTAAAACTCTGCATTTATTGTCCAGCTTGTGATCAGCTGGTTTAAGCCGATGCGTCGCATTTAGTTCCAAGGAGACCGGCGAAACCTATTGCATATAGATGGGACTTTTCGCGAACCAGTGCTGACATAAGTTTTCCGATGGATCGATAGCCTCTATTGGGTTATCTTAAACCGATTAAATCCCGATAGTAATAGCAACAGACGGTAAAAATAATAAACACAATAATTCTATTTCTACCTGCTGAGATCAAATATCCTCAACACTTTTCTAAAACGTAGAGAAAAATTACCTGTTGAATAAAACAAAATGCCTAAACTTAATATGGTGTAAATATTCCTGGGTGAAAAGTCCGTCTGTTAACTGGTGTGGTTAAGATTATTTTCAAAAAGTTAGACAGACATGTTCCTAGAAACTGATTCCTAATGCTGTTTTTTATTCAATTTAATACTAATTATCTACTGATTTTTCCTTAACTTGATTGCAAAATCTGTCAGTTCCAATGTTCAAAAAATATTGGTGTTCAAGTGATATTTAACGAAAAGGCATTTCAGTGTCCTGTTGGTGGTGGTCCACTACATATGGAGCAACAATTAAGAAGTGGAAATGCTTTTATCGATATACAATGTCCAAAGTGCACGTCATTGTGTGAGGTTAGTCGAAGTGATTTATAACTGTTCGTCACATCAAGTATACTAATAAAAACCAATAAATCATGCTACTCTGATCACACAGTTTTAGATTTAAAATTTGTTTCGTGATGAGGTGAGAAATTAAATGAAGTAAGTTTGTTCAGCGTAGCGTGATTAGTGGTGAAAATCTGTAGAGAGTGAATATCCATTTGAAGTGTAAGGGAATTTTACATAAACATTACCAGTTGTTCAAATGTATCTGACCAAACGATGAAACAGACTTTTAAGTGGAATTGGATGATAATCAAGAACATATAGAAAAGTGATTCTGTTTCGTCTCTGATGTCAGTATGTATGTTTATTCTGTTCTACTTATATCATGTGTAATCATAGTAAAGTATATAGTGTGTTGTCAGTATTTATTCGATTCAAATCGATGAATGACGTTCGACTGCATTTGATGATGATTGTGTTGGTGTAATATTTGTTCAGTTGAACAGTCACAAAACTCATACAGTAAATTGTGTTGAGTGCTATAATTCTCACCCATACCTTAAGCATCATATATGCCTTTTCAGCAATAGAATTTCAGAATATTATTCAAAAGCATCGAGAAAACATTATCAATAAACTGGGTTTTCGTGGATACTGTGGTGATGTTAATAGTTAAAACTGTGGATGAATTTCATCTGGAACATCAGTGAGAACCTAGTGACATTGAATGGCCTTTCATCTCTTCTATCAACAATGCGAATCCACGACCCTTCACGTAAGACTTGTATTCAGGAGCTTTAGTCTCACGTGCGAACGCTCATTCTCTTGACCACAGGGCCAGTATTCAACAGTGTTAATGTCTAACTTCAACCATTCCATGACATCGCGTGGTTATCCATCGTTTCTTCAGTGAGCGACGGCCTGACAACAGACAAGGTTGAATTTCACTGACCACGACTTCCTTCAAGAACTCCAGGAAGTTCATCTTGACGTTAGTTACTAGTGAGAACATGATAACTATCAGTATAGGGCTGTGCAGATTGTTGAGTTACAATCGCTGTCATGAATGGAGGAGTCCCATACTGAAACAAAACGGCCGTCCAGCACCACCAGGATTTCAGTGGTGGTCTGGCCCACATCGACTCATGAAATCCACTAATAAAAGCAATACTGATCAATTGATTTGAGACCATCAACAACTTTGTGTGTTAAACGCCTGAAAATATGACATACCTTTAATTCACATACGTGTTATTTAAACAACGGAACAATGGCCACATATGCGGATGAGTTTTTACCCATCGAAATTCGGTGCAAATAACGATCAATAATGATCAAATTATCAGTAAGAGTTTGTTTGGAAATGATTAGTAGAGTTAATTCAAATTCACGTGTATAATTTGCATAGTCTTTAAAAGGAAAACATAAAGCTTTCTAAATTGCTGAGTAACGTGATTATAATATCACCACACGGGCCTCTTATCAAATATAAACACTGTTGAGCATCATGTGTGGCCGTCACAAATGCGATAAAACTAGTGCCTTGATAGGGTTTGAGTTTGTCTTACCACATACAGTGAACGAGTGATTCATTGACGTGGATTTCTCAAGCGTGCCATAAAGACCTTCCGAACTTCATTGGCTTTATTAGATCAGACGTTGAACAAAATGAATTCAAGCTAACAAAGTGTAGATCTTGACCTATTCACAGTCTTAGCAATACTGCATTTTCTCTCTTATACTTGATTTTATATTCAAGAACAGATGACATTGTTATATCTCAACTTTCCTCTCATCTTCGTCTTTCTGTGCAAGTGTATTCACATTGTAGCAAACCTGTAAACAAATTAGACTGTAGACATTGTGGTGGACCAAACAGATATGAACGCGAAACGTATAAACAAAGTTATTAAAAATCAATAGTAATATTAATATATACAATTAATTGTTACAAATACAATAAAAATTAAGGACGTTACTTAAATTGCCCAAACGTTGCGTGTTCTGATTAGGTCCAGTAATGTAAATCCACAATTATAAATGCTTGATGACTCTGAGTAGATTGGCGAACTCTCTAGCGATATAGTCCAACGTAGGATGTGATATATTCCGATTAGAGTCTATAAAAGGCAGATAGTATTCGATTTAGACTTCCGTTAACTCAATCGCAAATAAAAATAGAACGAGGAATGCGTGAGTATTAATGTATTTGTTAACCAGAAAGAATATGTCACGCTATGTAGTAGCTCAACGGAAAGTGTGTTCAAGGTCATTGACTAAAACAACACGTACAGTCATATAATGATGAATGTACATACAGTGAAAAATTGACAAAACAAATACAAATAATATTAAAAACTATTTACAAAATAAGCTTGTCAGTCATATCTCCACAACATGTTCGGTTGAACATCAGTACTGAGTAACGTGTTTTAAATGAGAATAATGTTTTAAGTCTGTGAAATTGGATTTATAATCCCTTGCTCCTTCAACATTCACGCGCACTATTTACACACGTTATTTCAGCCAGTCAATGAAATGCATACTGAGGAGAGCCGAAACAAATATTTCGGCAGAATAATAGGAGACCACTTTATTTTGTTTGGTTCTCGTCAGTTGCTTACAACGTGTGATAATTAGGAACCTTAAATGCAAAACGGATCTAAGTTACTTACGTCAGAGTAATAAGTTTGACGTATTTCTGAAGACAAATCAGCATGTTATAGCGAGCGTGGTAGCCCATCTCACCGGGCTCGTAGAAGCTTTCGGATGAGAAAGACCAAATATTTCACTAGACACATTTTCCACTGTGAAATTACGCGGGACTATAATTTATAGACGAACCAATCTGGTATAGGATAACGGGTCTCGGACTTTGGCGCGAAATTCATTCATCCATTTGGCTAAATAAAATCTTGGCATTATAGTTGATGTCAGTTCGTGATGAAATCCATAAATCTAATTGCTAACACTAACCGTCAACTGTAAATCACAATTCTAATTCCTCACGCTGGTTTATCACCCTCATTTAATTCTAGTTATTGGGTGGACATTCTCAAGGTCACTTGAGAGTCACTCAGAAGTAGTCCATAAATCATAGTCTCACCTGAAAGTGTCAATCACTGTCTTAGATAAGGTTACTTAGGTAGGGATCCATGAACCGCACAGTGTAATACATTCATATTTCTATTTTGTGTGGTTCATGTCAAAATATTTCAGTCAGTAGTTATTTAGCGACAGTTCAATAACCGAGTTTATTCATGTTTGAAGTGTTTTACGTTTGTATTGCTGAGAAATAATTACCTACGCAACTATCTATGCTCGGATGTTTTATTTTTCAGGAATATTGTCCAAAGTGAAAGAAAACCGCGTGGAACAACATTCTTCTAGTTGTTGTCGAGAGAGAAACTCATTTATTAGATTTGATTAATGAACACTGTTTGGAGGTATCTGTATTTTGAACACTAAATGATAGCTTACCTTAACTTGACATAAACTTAGTATGTATGAATTAACTACGTTAAAACATGTATCGCTTGATCAATCTATCATATTTTGCAGTTTATTTTGATGGTCCTATATATATGGTAAAGTCAATGAGTGTTAAATGTTTATACAATAATTACAGTAGATATGTTCAACATTTTAACTTTTGTCACTGTGGGTTATTTTCAGATTTAGTTTTGTAACGTAGACGATCAATTCTTGCATAACACATATATTCAACAAACATTCCTGAAGTGTATTTAGTTGTCACTGTCTATAATCTGTCTTGAATCACAGGTTTCTTCCATTAGTCCAACGTCATCTCCCAATGTTTTCGCTCTATTGCACACCAGACGGATTTTCATGTATTCACACCAAAATATTTCAGAGATTAGACAAAGAATAAAATCTTCACTTTATATATTTTTACTATTCTGTATTACACACTTAGTTCAATACAGTAGTGCGAAAGTAAATTCAGTAAGCACACAAAATTAGAACTTCCCATATACGTTTAAACTGTGCTTCACTAGATATGTACTTCAGACTTTTGACTTATGTTCTTCTTGGTCAATAACTATTCGAAGAAAAGAGTCGTGCAAAATTGGCGACTATTTAATTCAAGGATGAAATATTTGTGGAGTTCACCTGGTTCGTAGTTCAAATCATGAACGAATATTAGCTGAGAATCATGTGAAAATCAGCTCTGCAATGTTCACTCATTTTTAACAGTTTTCTATACATGTCTTTTCTGATTAGTTTAGTTTAAATTTCTCGCATTTGCTTCGCTCTCTTTGCTTCCATCATTGTCTGTCTATATCAACTGGTGTACGAAATTTACGTATTCAAACTTTATTTCAGTATTTGACTTATTTGATTCCGTCGGTCGTCAACGTGGTTCGAGTCGATGATTATGTATCAGGATGGTGGAGATTTATAATTGTGATTTTATTCAATTCAAAGCAGAATGAATTAACAGCACAAGCTAACGCGAACAATAATCTATCATTTAGATTACGAATATCTTTTTGAATCTATACAAGCGTAATACATGGATATAAGAAGAATACGTCATGGAATTTTGTTTTCTGAGTTCGATGTTTTGGTCGTGGAGCTTTCATCGCTCTTCTAAACGACATCATCAGCACAAACTTCAGATAGAAGTGAAGTGTTCGAATTTCTCCATATGCGTTTCAAAGATTGTTCTGTACACCTAGAAGTTGATTGATTCTTATTGACCCTGAATTTGTCATTGTTTACTTCTTTGTTTTGGTTGTGTCTCCCATTGGTTTGGTTTTCGTTCTTATATTTGTGCATGATTTTCTTGATTGGTTGATAAACTGGATTGAGGTGTCGAGGTGTACAGAGCAAGATGTGAAACGCTTATGGAGAAATTCGAACACGTCACTTTTATCTGAAGTTTGTGCTGATGATGTCGTTCAGAAATCAATGAAAGCTCCACGGCAAAGCCATCCAGCTCAGAGAACAAAACTCAATCAAAATCATCCACCTGAGCTACAAACCTTCTCCACCATCTCAGA